CTCTTCTGGAGGGACAGAGCTCCTGCCTTTCAATTTGGAGAAGGAACAAACCTGGTCTGCTGTCTTCAAGGCAAAATGACACAGCTCTTTGACGTTTTTGTTGGTACACGTTTTAAAAATCTGTTTTAAGATGAATTTAAATTAAGACTCTTTTTGGTTTTGTGTTGCTACATGATCCTGGCAAGCTGTGAAGTCAAGAGTGCCCTTCTTTTGAAAGGGAGCTAAGGATTGTGGTCCCCTCCTGGCTGGCCAGCATCCCAGCCACATTGGTTATGGGGCAAGGCCATGTGTCTCCCCAGCCCCGGAAGAAGCCCCAGTAGTAATGGGGATGGACACTTCTAAGCCTTTCCATCCTGGCCATTTATTTGGGCTCATTCTTCCTCTGTGTGCTGAGCAGTCTCAGCAGCAATTAGAGACAGTTAACTGAGCTCCGGGCTTTGCGCGAAGTAACTGACAAGGTCAGATACTACAGATGGAAAAAATAAAGTCTGAGGTAGACATCTGTATATCTAACACTATAAGATTACTTTAAAAAATGTGCTTTGTGAAAGGAACGCATGGAAGAAGCTATGCTACTTTGCTAAAATGTGATACTTAGAGACTAGTTTGCCCAAATGGGCAACTACTTATACACGTGTGGCCCTGTCAAGCAGAACCCCTGCACTCACCCGTTGGGAATAGTGACACCTGTGCATGCGGGTGCTGACTTTTGCATACTCAGAAGCTGCTTTTAGGGTACATGAGCACAAGCACTCCTCCCTGAACATCTGCAGGTGCGGCTGCATGCAAAGAGACAAAGGGAAGTTGAGGCAATAGTATGTGCCCATCATGGCAAAAAATCATGAGTCACACTTCAGAATATGGTAAGATTCCATATTTTCTGTTTTTTCTCTGAAATGAGGAAGGCCAGAGTTTCAAGGACAGCAGGTAATAAGCTCCAGGAAAGAGGACTGTGAGCTCAGCAAAATGTGGAAGCTGACAACCCTGAGACTTTGCTCCCAAATATCTTGAAACAGCTGCCACTGAACTGCCCACAGCACAGATTTGTCACAGCACAGTCGCGCTCTGTGTCACCGTTGAAGTATAAACCAGGAGACCCTCTTGCTGTCCTTTTAAGAACAGAGAGCAAAACAAAGAGCTGCATAACTTGTGGTGATGCAGCTCCCACCAGGATGGCAGCACCAGTGCAGGGATGTTGCACATCAGCACAGCTTCCCTTGCATGCATGTGCGCAAAGCACAGCCTAAAAATGTGTGCATGCAGGTTCTGCTTTGAGAGAAGGCATGTCAAGCTCAAGCTAGATGTGTAAGGGTTGAACACCTGTCTCACTGCAAAAAGGGTAGTGGTTGCATTTTAGCATTTAAGTATTTAGTGTCATAAGAGTGTGGTTTTTTTAATTCATAGAATCATAGAATAGTTAGGGTTGGAAAGGACCTTAAAATCAACTAGTTCCAACCCCCCTGCCATGGGCAGGGACACCTCACACTAAACCATGTCACCCAAGGCTCTGTTCAACCTGGCCTTGAACACCGCCAGGGATGGAGCATTCACAACTTCGTTGGGCAACCCATTCCAGTGCCTCACCACCCTTACAGTAAAGAATTTCCTCCTTATATCCAATCTAAACTTCCCCTGTTTAAGTTTTAACCTGTTACCCCTTGTCTTATCACTACAGTCCCTAATGAAGAGTCCCTCCCCAGCATCCTTATAGGCCCCCTTCAGATACTGGAAGGAAATGTACGTTAATAAATGTAATTAAGGAGATGTACAGAAGGTATGTTGGATTTTAGGATGGATTAACAAACTAAATCATGAGCCTAAAACCATGCTGCTTTTTCTTCCCTGCCCCTAATTAGGGAAGTGTAAAATCTTACCCAGTTTCTATATGAGAAAAAGTAATACCAAGATCTGCACTTTTGCACAACACTGAAAAGTTTTCATGGTCCTCAGAGGCACAGAGTATTGCAGGGAATCTTACTACTGAAAAGCAGATAGCAACATCTAAAAAAGAAAGATGAGTAAGAAGAGGACCGAGTCTATGATTTAATTGGAATCAATGGGAATTATGCCATTTGCCTTTGGTGGCAGCAGAATCAAAGCTGAAACACCGGCTGTAGTTTATTTTAGATTACTGCTTGTCAGAGTTTAAATTTCAGATATCTCCAGCGGGTTCTTTTAACTGTCTACAATTTATAGCAGCGATATATGTTCTAAATATTTTTTCTCTACCAGAAGATAAGCTGAGCCTGTAAGGTCTGTTCGTGAAACAAAGTCTGCAAATTGTGAACCCAAAGTGGGTGGCTTTAGGATGTGCCTTGGGACCAGGCCTCCAAAGCTGTGTGGATGCAAAGGTAAGAGGTTTGAGTGAGTTGTGCTGCTGAGGATTTCTCAGGTAGAGATATGGAGAGCAGAAGCCAGCTAAGTGGACTGAAGATGGAACAGCCTTCAGAGTAAAAGTCTCAGCAGGTTGTTGGCTGAAGACTGAGCTCTAGGGGTTAGGAACCAGTGTGGAAGATGGATGGGGGAGCCTGATGATGCCAAATAAATCCTTAATCTCTTGGAAAGTGCCACATCGTTGTGAAACAAGCACAGGGGGAAATATCCTCATGTAGTAAAAAAAATAATACCTGAAGCCAAAGAAAGAGGCTTGCAGAAGTCAGTAGGGAAATGGTATCTGTCTTGGATAGATGTAAACTCTTCGGTTTGAGTAGCAGCACTCTTCTTGCTTGCTAATGTATATGATTATCTGGGTAATGAATGAAAAACAGTAATCACTTGATGTTTGAGAACAAACAAAATAGTAAGAAATCCGCATCTTCTGAAGCCCCTACCTGCTTTTTAATACTGGTTAGTGGGAAGAGACAGGCAGAGATCTCTGCAGGAGGTTTAGACAATCAGACAGGGGAAATTAGTGATGGACACTTGAGGCTCCAGGTGATGTGAGGGATAACTTTGGTGTTGGAGGGAGAAGATGAGTTTTAGAAAACGGAATCCAAGAAAAAAGTCATGAATGTTTGGAAAGGGGGAACGTCTGAAGGGCCAGGGCACAAAAGCAGCATCATCTTTGTGAAGGCACATATGGAAGCTGTGAGCATGTGTTGATCTTTGTAAGAGCCTAGCCCGGAATCACTAAAGAAAAGCTAAAAAGAAAAAGGTGAGGTGCATCTTAGAGCAAAAGTTGTGGTTTGAAGAACTTCAAAGTTTTCTGGAGTGCTCCTGCTGTGGGCCATTTTGCCTGACAGGTTTTCACTGAGGCAGAGCATCATAGCTGTGTTTTCTCCCTATCCATTTTTATCTGGTCAGAGGAGAGAAATACCAGACAAGAAATAGGCACTGAGCTCTGCTTCAGTTCTCTCAATAGCTAGGAATAAACTGTTGATCAAGCCTTTGTATTTCAAAGGAATAATGAAAATCCTCACACTCTTCCACTTATAAACTGTCTCACACTGATGTATGTAACTGAAGGTGCCCAGAGCAGAAGCTGACATTATAATAGAAAGCAACTGATAGGCGATTCTCTCTGCTAGAGCAACCAGAGCTGAAAAGGTAATACAACCTCCTATAAGCGAGGACAAATGATGACTGAGATGGGTCTATCCTAATGAACTGTACAACACATGGTCTGCTGTGCCTGGGTCTGATTCTGCATTTCTTGAATATCCTAATGTGCAAATACTGTTGAGAAGAGTTTTGGGCATGTGGGGAATGTGGCTAAGGCTCCACATATAAAAGGTTTTAGCAAATTACTGTGTGAAACACAAAGGCCACCTGGACTTGTGACTACAAAGTAGATTCCAGCGGCAGTGACCAAATGAGGATTTCTTGAATTACTCTGAGTAGGAAAGAGATTTTGCTTTGCGAAAACAAATTAGAAGTTCTGAAGCTGAATGTTAGCAAGACCATTCAGAACAAAAAATAAGAACAGCCTATCTCTGTCAATTGATTTTAATAATGTCATACCAAAGTTTAGAAATAAATCAAACAAAACCCCAAACAAACCAAAGCAAAACATATTGTATTAATTTTTAATTCATTAATGTTATTTGAATGTTATGGGCCTTCTGCTGCATCTCTCTGAGCCACAATCAATAAATGGGATTCATCCCCCAGTTATCTGTACTAGGTACTATCTGTACTTTCTCACTTCAGTGTGATTGGATTGTGTTGAGAAGGCTTTGGACTGATGGGTGCATTCAGATGCTCTTACTGAAACCTCTAAAAAACTAGAATGATTAGCAGTATTGGGACCAAACTGTCTATATTATCTGTTGTTCAGCTTAAAAATTCAGTTTCTCTTTAACGGGTTTTCTCTGTGTGGTTTCACGAAGGATAATTTTTGGAGGAAAGTTACGCAGGATGGGAAAGTGTTCAGGAACAAGACAGATCTCCATGAAGTGAAATTTACCCGTTCAATGTGGACCCAGAGCCTGACAGTTAATTGTGACATACATATCAGCCCAGACGTAAACGCAAAGGAGTTTATTAATGTGGGTGGCATGATTGGCATGACTCAGAAATGGTAGTTAGCATTTTTAAAGTATTACTATTCTGATTAAATTAAGCAGTTTCAATATAGTGGTTCAAACAGACAACATACTTTTTAAAGGTAGGAGACTGAGGCTTATTCAGGCTTGATGACACGCACAGGGTCCCACCGTGAGTTTGATGGATAAGCAGGTGAATTAGAAAACCTAACTTCCATTATAATGCTTTACATTAGATGACAATCCACAACGGAAAGAATGAATGGAGATAAAAAAAAGACAGATGGAGAATGAAAGGAAATGCGCATTAAGTGTTTGAAATAAATATATGCACTGGGCAAGAATGAAGCTAGTAATTGGAACCTTTGCTCACTTTTAAAGATAATTAAGTGTATTTGCTTGCAGTGCATTTAGAATAACAGGCTACTGACAGGGATGATGTGGCCTGTGAGAGAAAGTGAAAGCATTTGCGAAGGGTGTTGCTAAAAGCTATATTTTTCCCTCCATTTTAGAAAGGAATAAGAGGACAGATGGCAGAAATTTCCCAAGGGAGAAAAGAGAATTACTGGTGAAGATCAGGATCAGACCTGCAGTGGTGATCGTGAAATGGAAATGCCTGAAAACTCAATTTCTCAAAGTTGATATAATCCGTGCCTAGGTACCCAGCTTCTCTGAATTCTGAGGCAAATGGGGCAACAGGAGAAAACTGGGAGGTGCTGGATGACTGGTAAGAGTCTAATGTGATGGCCTGGAGAGAATCAAAGCACTTCAAAGTATTGTTAGCTGGGTAGTTTCTATTTTGTGTATGTTTCTGCACGACACTCATCAGTGGCATATCTGAGCACTTCAGTAGCATCAGCCATGTGGTCTTACGTCTCTCAGCCTCTCCTCCTGAGAGAACAAATGTGTCTCGGAGGACCTTGTTTCAGTAGCATTTTTTTGTTATTCTTAGCATATGTATTGTAGAATATTTGTTGCAACAGGGTGGGCTGAGAGAAATGTGTCTGGTGCCTGAACTGGAAAGCTGTAGGTTAGGAAGGAGACTCCACAGTATCAATTGCTCAACAAGGTTGGACTGGAAATTGCTGGACATTTAAGGAGTTTCTCTTGCCTTTCTATAGCAGTTGACCTTATGTCCAGCTGATTTGTGCCTGCTTTCTCCCTACTTTAGTGAAAAAGACCCTTTTCAGACATGACCATCAGACTCCAGCTGTACAGAGGAATGCAGTTCTGTTCCAGTCCCAATCTAACAACCAGATTTTGTGAGAATGTTTTGTTCCTAAGGCTGTGGGAGCTAAATGCCTAAACATCTTTAAAATCTGTGTTGACTTTATGCCAATTTTGTCCATGTAGCAAATGCACAAGGGTGTCCCTGTGCTATTGCATCATTTAGGTAAATACTGTATTATGAAAAGAGACAATAGCCATGTGGAGCAGGCTAGAAAATCTGAAGGGGAGTATAATGAGACAGCTTAAATACTGTGATTTGGTTATTTGTAGACAGGATGATTGCGTGAGAAATAGCAAAGAGAATCTGTTTGGTTGACTTCTCTGAGGAAATGTAAAGAATTTCAGCGTATTGATATTGTGATTAAATTCTAAGTTATGAACCTTGCAGAACAACTGGATATTATAAACGTAACACAGGGTGATCAAGCTTATTCAGTGCTGAAAAGCAGGTTCCTAGTTTTAGGGAGCCTCTTCCAGACCGGCATCCAAAGTGTTATGATCAGAACTGATCCTTTCTGTTTCTTCTTAGTGGATGTCACAGAGACTTGCCAGGGGAGGTGTGAGCTCGGGGAGGTGTGAGCTCCAGGAGGTGCTCAAAAAGTACTTTGTTTTCCATGTTGTTGGTAATGACTGTTCCTTTTACATAAAATCATTTTGTCTGATGACAACTGAAGTGATGATGGGCTTGACAATAATCTTGCTAGATCTTGCTTGGACTGCACTGGAAGAGTTAGTGTCCAAAGTAAGAACAATTTTTGGACAACTAAAAAAAGCCAGAGTATTTTTAGCTGGAACTAACAAGTTACTAGCGCTGACCACTAAGTGTGTCAGAGACACATAGGCACTTCTGGATTTCATATAGCCTCACTTCTATCTCTCAGAATTTGTAATTTTCTTTAACAAGGAGCAATTTTCTCTGACATTAGGAAACAAGTTGGAATGTCTATTGTGCCTTATTTTTATATTATTACTAAGTCTAACTTATAAATATTGGGGTTATAATATACAGCGTGTTATCCTCATTCACAAGATCTGAGTACTGATGCAAAAAGTCACTTGCCCTGAAAGTATACCTGATGTTGCCCACAATGGATATCTCTTTGAGAGGAAGAATAGATGGAGAAGATGTCATGTATGGTTGATGTTGATTGAAGCTATGTTTGTGCCAAGTACAGTAAAGAAATTGTTCAGTACTTACCTTCCTTTTGAAAATATTACTATTGTAAAAGTACCAACATACCCACATGTGTCAATAATCTCTCGTGCAAACATCAGCTGGGGAAATTCATTCTGCCCAGCATGTATGTAAGTAAGCAGTGCCTCTTAACTTTGGTGCACATCATCCTCCTGTGTTCTGTATGAGTGTCAGCTGTTCCTGTGGTCACATTGCTGACACTTCTAACTTGATCTGTGTGTGTTTCATCAAGGGACCTCACTAGGCAGTGCTTCTGGATAAAGTTTTACCCAAAGACACTCCCATGCTGGAGGTTAGGTGAGGACATTAGGCCCAGCTGTGAGCTGCATGTGACACATAAGGTTCACAAGCCTAGGAGTAGCCCTTGCAGGTTTTGCCATGCACTTCAGAAGCTGAGCTCCTTCCTGCCCGTGTGTTGCTCACAGTGCTTAGTGGTTTAGTGCCACCCTTTGCACGGGCCTTCCCCGGCCCCTTTCCCAGCAGTGGTGGGGAGGAGAGTTTGTGCTCACACAGCATCTAAGTCCAGATCAGAGGTGTAGCTCGCCTGAGTAGGATGCAGGTGGTGGAGTGGGAGTGTGCAGTCACTTGCAGTCGTGCTGGGTGACAGCTAACCAAGACGGCTTCCTGCTCCCACGCACAGGGCCCAGCAGAAGGGTTTTTCTGTTCTCGCTTGCTGTCAAGATGTGCAGCAGGCTCTCGGTCGGAGAGGGTGGGATGAGGTCACATCCTCTGTACTATATCAGAATGGGAGTGATGAGCATCTCCCATCTCAGTGCACGAGGAGTCAGCCTCCAGAGAGGCTTGGTGGCAGTGGCAGTGCTTGGTGTGCTTCTGAGGAGGAAGTTCACTTTGTCCAGGCTTATTTCTTACACCAAATACAGACCAAAGGTACATGTTGGTCTACACCAGCAGTGAATTTACCAGTGGCGTTTTCATCCTTCAGTTATTTAAACCATGTTCTTATGAATGATCAGTGTGAAGTGGGCTGTGAGGAAGAAAATTCTGTCTCAGTTCAGTGTTAGGTATTCTGTGTGCTTTAAATCAGCTGTATATAAAATGGTCAAGCTCTTTCTCATGCCATGGCAGGACTTTAGTTTCTCCTTGATTAGATATGGTGTCTGGCTTAATGTGGGCTGGCTGGTTGAGTAGACCTGGTTATTGTATTTACTTGTGTAGTAATTATGATTGATACCCATTGAAATCTCAGCAAGAGTTGAACGAAATTTAATCTACTGCAGACAAAGGTCCTGCTTTGTATGGTGCTCTGCACAGTGGTCCATCACTGGGACTCCTCAGTGCACTGGTAATAAAAATAATAAGTAATAAAGCTATAGTTGATAATAGTTTAGTGAGGATGTGTCGTTTGAATTGAGGTTTACAGGAACAGATCCTCACCACATCTTGCCTGCCTTTTCAAGGAAATCTTAAAGACACTTTTTTTTTCTCTCTTACATCTATGTCCTTTTTATACCTGTGAGTCTGTGTACATTGTGTATTGTGAGCCTCTTTCTGAGCTGCAACTTCTACTATGGATAGAGTACTGGTAGGGGTAGTAAATAGGAACTAAATTTATATTCTTCTATTTTGCTTTTTTTTTCCCTTTCCTTTTTAATATTTTTTTTTTTTCCTGGGAGAGGGAAAGCAGTTTACATGTTATACTTCTTGATCCTAAAGCAAAGGAAATGTGGTTAATACTAAAATTGGCTTCATGGCTCCAGTTTTTTCAGCTCAGAGCCACCTGCCTCTAATCAAACTGTCCAATTACAAGAAACAATTGTTTTCTTGCTTTCTGTTAAGTGCAGAAATTCATCCACAAAGGACTTTTTACTAAATGTTGCTTTTAACAAAACCGCTTTCACAATTTGTTTGAAATGTGCTGATGTTTATGTCCAGCATACATGTTAAAATTCGAACATATGGTCACCAAGATCCACACAAGTTCATTCACAAAATAGTAATATTTATGTAAACCGATTGTAAGGTTTGGGAATCTCTAATGTATTGGGAGCAACACAGTGGACATTAATAGAGTTTCAGTATTATTGTGGTAAGCTGAGAATCAGGCCCTGACCTATAATTATCACGTTCATGAAGAGCACTGATAATACAGAAGGGAAATTCGTCTCCCTAGATATGCTTCCTTAATGTGAGACAATGACTTCAGGCTGTTTCTGAGCTGCAAATCATCCAGGTGAAGCCTGGCTGGAGTGGAACAAAGCAAAATAAAAAGCAGAGTAAGAGGATCCAGCTTTGGTTAACAATGCTCTCCTTGCGAAACTAGATCTCAAACCAAATTATAGCTTTAACACACAGTCAGTCCTACGGAAATACGTGAGTTCACATGGAGAAAGTGAATACACAGCTTGTCCCCTCTCATTTTAGCAATGATGTTTACATGTCTTCACCTAACAACTGCTTTTTATCTGCAAAGAAACAGACTGATAAGGAAAATAAGAGCAAAACCCGCTATAATTTAGGAGCTTGCCGATTACACTAAAAGTATTTGATCACCTCACAAACTCTGTATGGAATAAAACTGACTAAGCACGAGTCCAATGATCCTAGTTAACAGGCCTGTGTAAAAAGACATTTAAAACACCATAAAATTTCCTTGAGAAGCATAAGACAGTTACTGGAAGCTATCAGTACAGGAAACATGAGGAGCTACTATACTCTGTCTCATAACATGAGAAGGTGGGGGGTATTCTGTGAAATTGACAGTCAATAAATGCAAAACAGATAAATGAGTAACTTGTAGGTATTAACTATTAAGCCACCAGCATGTGGAATTAATTTCCATAGGAAATCTATGTTAAACTGCAGCACAGTTGGCAGCATTGCTACAGCCGTGTTGAAAGGGGTGATGTACTAAAAACTACTTTTGGTTTTCAAAATATGTTTAATGTGTGTCTGTGTGCTCACATACAACTTGCAGCTCTCCTAACTGGATCAGTAGAATGTGATTTCCTGTTAGTTGAATCAAAGAGGTGGTATCTGGTATACACTAGAAAAAGCTTTGGAAATTGTACATAATGCACTATATAAGATTTTCTCTTTGTCCTCATAACTGTACTTGTCTATGCCTCTTTTTTTTTTTTTTCCCCCACATTTTCCTATTTTTCTGCCCTGTAAATCAAGATCAAGAAGGGAACAATGCTGGAGATTTCTATGTTGGCTGGCTTGTACTGTTCAGCAACTTTTTGTTTGTGTGCTGAAGTGGGGGTTGGGGAATATATCACTTTATTCCTGTTATTTCCAAGACTGCTTTAGTCACACTTGAATGGTTAATCTTCCTGCATTTA